ACACGCCAACGCGGATAGGTCCTGGTCGGTACGTTGTGTTGTTTGGTCTCGTCAGAGCATAGGGTCTGCTCTGCTGATGTGTACCGAGGCGCTGACCTCCAAGTAGTACGCGACCTCGGACAGCTGCTGCGCTCTCGACTCGGGCACTCGCTGGCGGAGTCCAAGTCCTGCTCTTCAGGATGTTCCGCTCCAGGGGGCTGAGTGCTATCTGGCCGTGCTTCGTCCTCGCAGATGCTGCTGTCCGCAAGCGCCTCGAAGGAGTTCTTGGTCAGCGGCACTCCAATGTCTGGTCGCATCTCCACCCTGAGCGCCTGTCTTAGTAATCTTTTGCGCCTCGCCACTCTTCTTTCTCTTGCAACAGCTGTGGCGTCGTTGAGGTGCGGTTCTGCTGATGTTGGGCTGCAGCTTTTGCTGTCAAGGTATGTGTCCTGTATTTGCTCTAGCTCGTAGGCTTGTATGGGTCCATGCTGTATCTGTCGATTGTAGTCAGTGCTTGGTTGTGTCGTGGTATCTGCATTTAATTTGGCTGACGCTGGTGGACTAGCCAGCCCTCTAGGGGTCTTTGTGCTTGCCATGTGGTCTGCTTGCGAGCCCAGGTGGCTGGAGTCGAGAGGTTGGCGGGCAAGCCAGGCTCCGTCGACTGCAAGCGTGGGGTGCTCCTCGAGTACCCGGCGCTGGGAGACCTCCAGATGTGATAGATCTGGTAGTCTCGACCTGCTGCCTGGGTCCTCCTTCGCATGGCTGTGCTGCCTGGGCTGCGACGCCGCATGGGCCGCCGCGGCCCCCGCGAAGTGGGATGTCGAACCAGGCGTGGCCAAGGGGTGTCGCCTTGGTCCACGCTGTCGGCACTGCGTCGGACTGCTCGAGTAGCTCTCCCACTCTTGTTGCAGTCTCACCCTGTCGCGGTGCTGGTTGCTTGTCTGAACCCCGCTGGCAGTGGGGCTCGCGGCCTGAGGGAGTCGCTCAGGTCCGCGCTTGAAGCGCTCAGACTTGATGTCGCCGTTCTGTGGGTGGTCCCCACCCTTGCCCACAGACGCGGCGTCTAGGGAGCTGGTAATGCAGGTAGTTCGTCTGCTACGTCTTTTGAGTCGGGGCTCCCTAGTAGAGCGTTGGTGGTTTGAAGCGGATGCGGCATCCCCCAGGCTCGCATCGGCTTGGACATAGCTATGTAGTGTGATGGAGGCTAGGTGCGATCGTGTGCGTGTGGCCGAAGGCCATGGGTGTGGGTCGTTGGGCGTAGGCTCGTCACCGCACGGGTCTCTGAGTCTGGGCCCGATATCCCCGATATCTTCTGGTGTAGCTGTCTGGGCGCAGGTCTGGGCCAGTTGCCCCCCAGCCTGCGTGCTCCGTATCAGTTTTTTGACAGTCGACCCCCGTCGAGGTCGCTCTCGCCGCTCTCGATGAAGGATGCCACTCTGTCTCCTGGGTCCGCGAAGCCATCGTCCGCGTCGCAGATCCTGACCTTTTTCGGCTGGCTCCTCGCCCTCCTGGATTCCCTTGGTTGCTTCAAGTTACCTCTGCATGGAGGTGCCGAGCTCGCCCTCTCTGGCGTGCCCAAGTGGAACCGCGGTGGTGGCAGCCGTGGCTCGTGTGGCTCGGTGGGCGTGATGTCCTCAATCGGCATCCGTGGAGGTGTGCTGGGGCAAGCCTCCTCGTCGCGGCTGAGGTCGATGAACAGCGTCGTCATGGGAGTCTTGGCTGGCTGTGAACGCTGTTGTGGGGTCTTGTTTGGCGTGAGAGGCGTGACGGGCGGAAAAAGTATGTGTCTTGGCGTGGGCTGTTCCGTCGGGATGGGTGAGTCGGCTGGTATCGCTGGTGAGAGTGAGGCGAGGTCTGTCGGGGCTTCGTCCTCCTTCTCCTTGCGCAGACCTTGGCGGTTCTTCATCTCTTCGTCCAGCAGGTCAGCGTCGTCGGATTCGCCAATTGGGATGCAGTCGCTGCTCGCCCGTACCTCGAGCATCCCTGAGTGCGAAAAGGAGCCGACACTGTTGTACTCCTCGATGTGCGGGCGCTGCTGAGGTGGTGGTGGAGGTAGCGGACACTCTTCGGCGGATGTCCTCGGCTCAAAGCTTTGGTTCTGGAAGCTGAGGTCGTCGCTCGACGAGAGGGTCGGCTCCTCTGGCGTTGGCATAGACGATGTATGGGACCTCTCTCCAAATCCCACCTCGGCCAGCTCCTCGAGGTACGGCGGTAGTTCTGGATGTGGAAGTTCGTACTGGCTAGGTAGCAGCCGAAGTAAGTCTGCCTCAAGTTGCTCCCTCTGGTACGCGCCCTCCTGGTCCGCCATGCCTTGGTCGCGCTCACTCGTGGCTGTGTCTCCCATGAGGTCATCCGTCATGTCGATTAGCAGGTCCTCGTCCACTTGTCCTCCTGCTCCCCAGGCATCCCGTAGTGCAGTCTGGAGTCCTGCCGTTTGCAAATCATGTGCACGTTGGAGTTCTTGTAATTGCTGCTGCCTCTGTGCTTCGTTCATATGATGGTTGTGGGCGTAGTGCTGCGCGATGGCCTGCATCTCCTGCTGGTGCTGGTGCTGCAGTGTGCTGTGGTACTGATGCGCCGCTTGGTTCTCCATCTCCTGCTGCTGCTGTAGTGCCTGGAGTTCGCTTGTGGCTGCTGCTTGTCGCTGCAGTGCCACCTCCTCCATCCTTTGGGCTTTGTCCACCGCCTCCTGGTGCTCCCCGACGCGCTCCAGATACCTTTCCTGCTCGTGCTGCATCTCGTATGCCTTCGCCTGGATGGCTGCATGCTCCAGGTTCAGGACGACCCGCATCGCTTCGCGCTTGTTGGCTTCATCCTGATGCTCATGGGCCATCTGCTGATAGTTCACTGCGATCCGCAGCTCCTCCTCCTTATAAGCGCTGTGACGGGCGCATTTCTCCTGGTACTCCGCCTCCACCATCTCCTGCGTCGCCTTCTCGTTGTGCTCCTGCGCCATCTTGTACCACTGGGCCTCCTGGGTTGCCATCTCTCTCACAACTTGCTCTTCCTGCCTGGCCTTCTGGACCTGCTGCGTGTAGATGACTGCTCTTCTCTGGTCTTCCTTGTGCATCTCCTCGCGCAAAGTCTTCTTTTCCAACTCGATATGAATTTGCAGGTCTGCGAGCATCCCTTTGGCCCTTTCCTCCAGTGTCCTCTGGGTGCCTCTTTGTGCTTCGTATGCTTTTGCTTCCTCCTCCTCCAGCTTGGCGTTGTGGTGCCGCTTGAGTGCGTTGACCTCCCATATGTGCCACTCCTCCTGCTTGGCCAACTGCGCTTCGGTCGTGTGGTACATCTTTTGCGCGATGGTCTGCTCGTAGGCCTTCAGCTCGCTTTTGTGCTTGAACTCTACTTGTGCTAGTAGGTCGCTTTGCTGCTGTTCTTTTTTCTGCTGCGAATCAAGCCTCTCGGTCAATCTCCTGATGGCATCTTTGATCTCGTCTGATGCTGCTAGGACTGGTCGGGGCTGCTGGGCTGGGGCTGGCTGAGCTGTGGCTGGTTGGGCCGTGGCCGGTGCCACTGGAGCTGCCGAAGGGTCGCGCCTTCTCCTCGCGGCCGGGTGTGGCGTGCGTCCTCTGGTGGGATCATGGCCCCCATCTTCCTCGGACGATTCGTCCTTTACTCCCGCCGACTTGGCCATTTGATCTCTGGTTTCCCTCATCAGGGTTTTGTAGACCCTGATGGTTCTGGCGGCCGTCGCCTCCTGGTCCAGCATCTTGCTGAGCCGCTTCTCCATCTCGGCATGCTCCTCCTCCAGCTTTTCCAGCGTGGCCCTGAGCTGCTTCATGCGTTCTTTGTGGGGCAGAACGAAGGAGATGTTCGTGGCGGTGATCGCCGCTTCCTGCTCGAGGCTGGTTGTGCACAAGCCGGCCAGCCTAGCACCTGCGATGTTCTCGGAGAGACGACCCAGCCTGTGGCACTTGGTCTTGTACCACACGAACCTCATCTCTTCGTCATCTGGTGGTGCGGACCAGCTCTCGTGCTCCATCGCGACGGCGAAGGAGACTGGCGTGATGCTGTCCAGGACTGCCTTCTGCTGGGGGCTGTACTGGTAGCTGCCGATGTGGGCTGCGGCAGGCGTGTCGAGCTGGTCCCTTCTTCTGCGCCTGCCGCTTCTCCTTCTGGCTGAGGCGCTCCTCCAGGGCGCACTGTGCTTCCAGTGCTGGTCGCTGTCGCTTTGCTGCTGGTGCTTGTGGGTCTGTGGCTGCTGCTGCTGCTGGTGGTGGCGCTTGTGGGTCTGAGGCTGCTGCTGCTGCTGCTGCTGACTATGCTGCTGCCACTCCCAGGGCCGCCCACCAATGGCTCCGTAGTCGCCAGTCCAGTCTGCGCTGCGCTGGCGTTGCGCCTGGGCTGTGGACCCTGCTCCTGTCCACCTCTCCACGGCCGCGCCGCGACGCCTCGAGGTGTGTGGTCCCTGCTCCTGACCACCTTTCCCTCGAGGCGTCGCGCTGCTGTTTCCAGTTCTGCTCCATGGCGTGCTGCTGGTGGCGCTGGGGCTGCTGCGCACTGTGGTGCTGCTCCAACCTGCTGGCTGCAGCCGCCAATCTTATCAGCAGCCTGTCTTGTCCTCTTTGGGTCCTGGCGCGGCGGTGCAAGGCTTCTTCTTTGATCCTGGGCGTGGCGGTCGGGGTGACCGCCGCGGCTGCGGCGCCTCTTTGTCTTCTCTTTGATGGCTCCGCGGCGCGCGAGCCACGACCGACGGGGCGACCGACGACGAACGATGCCGCGACGGTCCCAGCCCCTCCTCGGCCGTATGGCTTCCTCCTCCTCCTCCTCCTCCTCCTCCCCCTGCCCTCGTCCTCCCCCCCCTTCTCCCCCCCCCATGGCATGGGGCGAGAAATGGCGGGTGGCAGAAAGGTGCACTCTTCGGACCCTGAAGGCCCCCGTCCGGGCCCCAAAGGGGCCCCTTTTGAGGGCCCTGCTAGGGCCCCTCTTAGGAAGCCCTCGCTGCCCCCCGTCGTCTATCGCCCCCCCCCCCCCCTCGCGCGACGCCCAACTCAGTGCCGCCGCCCGTCGGCCAGCTCCTCCGCGTCGCGCCACACGAGGAAGTCGCAGCCGCCGCCGCCCTCGTGAAGGGGAACGATCGGGGGGGGGACCGGCTCTGGAGAGGAACGCATCGATGCGGAGTCGGCGGTGTATCGCCGACGGATCGGCGACAGACCCCCGATAGCGGATCCGCGCGTCCCTGGGCGGGGTGGGCCATCGGGCCCTTCCCGGCGATTCATGACTGGGCGGTCGGGGGTCGATGCGTCCCCCCCTGCCCCTACGGATCCACCCTGGGTCACAATTTGGGTTTCGCGTCATGGTTTGGGTTTCTGGCGGCCGTTCGGGACGATCCAGGCAGCCTCTCCATGCCCTCGGCGAGGCGCAGCTGCTGGAATGCATCGTGAGGCAGGAAAGCCTCCAAGAACAGACGAAACCGAGGAACACAGCCAGGAGCCTACTCAAACATGCGAGGTCTTGACTTTGTTCAAGAGCGGGCCTCAGAAGTCTCGACCCTTTCCCCGCAGGCCAACTCTTCAAATCTGTTTGACGCTCCAGAGACCTGGCGAAGGCCCTAAAGACCGAACGTTGCTGGAACACCATCCGTTATTTTAACACCATCCGTTCATTTTTCACGACGCAAACACGTCTGAAACATACTAGCAACTTTGATCACCGAGATGCCGCGCGCGAGGTGGTCCAGCGCGTTTCGCGCAAGACATCCTCGCAACTCTGGGCTCCGAGATGTTGCGCGAGAGGTGGTCCAGCCCGTTTCGCCTTAGACGTTCTCGTAACTCTGGGCTTCGACATTCCGCGAGCGAGGTGGTCTGGCGCGTTTCGCCTGAGACATCCGCGCAATACTGAGCTCGGAGATGTTGCGCGCAAGGTGGTCCAGCGCGTTTCGCCTGAAATCTTCGCAACTCTGGACTTCGAAGTGCCGCGCGAGAGGTTATCCGGCGCGCTTCGTCTGAGACACCCTAGCAATTATTGGCATCCGAGATTCCGCGCGCGGGGTGGTCCACCGCGTTTCGCCTAAGACATCCTTGCAATCCTGATCTCTAAGATGCCGCGCGCGAGGCGTTCCAGTCTGTTTCGCATGAAACATTCTCGCGAATCTGGGCTCCGAGATGGCGCGCGCGAGGTGGTCCAGCCCGTGTCGCTTGAGACACCCTCGAACACCTCGGCTCCGAGCTGCTGCGGTCGGGTTGGTCCAGCGCCTTTCTCGCCTGAGACATCCCCGCAACTCTGGGCTCCCAGACGCCGCGCGACGGGCGGTCTGGCGCGTTACGCCTGGTACACCCTCGCCACTCTGAGCTCCGAGATGCTGCGCGCGAGGTGGTCCAGCGCGTATCGGCTGAGACGTCTTCGCAACTCTTGGATCTGGGATGCTGCGCGCGAGAACATATGGCCCGTTTCGCCCAGTTGGGCTTCGAGATGACGCGCGAGGTGGTCCGGCCCGTTTCGCGCAAGACACCCTCAGAACTCTGGGCTCTTAGAAAATGTGCGCGAGGTGGTCCGGCGCGTTTCGCCTCAAACATTCTCGTAACTCTGGGCTCCGAGACGCTGCGCGCGAGGTGGTGTGGCCCGTCGCGCCTGAGACATCCTCGCAACTCTGAGTTCCGAGATGCTGCGCGCGAGGTGGTCTGGCCGTTTCGGCTGAGACATCCTCGCAACTCAGGGCTCCAGGATGCTGCGCGCGAGATGATATGGCCTGTTTCGCGTGAAACATCCTCGCAACTCTGGGCTTCGAGATGACGCGCGAGAGGTGGTCCGGTGCGTTTCGCGCAGGACATCCGACCAACTCTGGGCTCTGAGAAGATGAGTGCGAGGTGTTGTGGCGCGTTTCGCCTGAGACATCCTAGCAACTCTGGGCTCCGAGATGCTGCGTTAGAGGTGGTCTGGCGAGTTTCGTCTGAAACATCCTCGGAACTCTTGGCGCCGAGAGGAACGAGGGAGGAGGGAGGAGTGGTTAGACCCAAACGAACCATTGATCACAGTTCTGCTGTCAAATTGTGCTCTGGGAAAGGTCTGGGCGCCGCCTGGTCCATCCTCGCATGCCGGGCGAGAGGTGGTCCGGCGCGTTTCGCGCAGGACATCCTCGCAACTCTGGGTTCCGAGATACCGCGCGCGAGGTGGTCTGGCCCGCTTCGCCGTAGACATCCTTGCAACTCTGAGCTCCAGGACGCTGCGCGCAGGGTGGTCCGGCCGCTCCGCCTGAGACATCCTCGCAACGCTGGGCTCCGACATGCTACTTGCGAGGTGGACCAGGGCGTTTCGCCCGAGACATCCTCGAGACTCTTGGCTCCGAGAAGGAAGGGGGAGGACGGAGGATGGGGTCTGATGCCAACCGACCATTTGATCACACTCTTGTTGACGATTTGTGCTCTGGGAGGTGTCTGGGCGCCGCCTGATACATCCTCGCAACTCTGAGTGCCGAGATGTCACGATCGAGCTGGTCCAGCCCGCTTCATCTGGAGCATCCTCGCAACTCTGGGCTGCGAGAGG